TACATACGTACATACGTACACACACACACGTAGCAATTGTGTGTGGTTTGGCGTATACGACTGGTACGAATTATACACTCGGGCCCCGGTATGCCCGGCCAAACAAGCCCGTGCTGATAAACCTGCGCATGCGTCCAGGTTAAGGACAGATTTTGCTGTGACTGCGGTTACAAACGGCCGGTGTGTGGTTGATGCATGTTGATGCCTTCCTTGCCATGAGACTTCGCGTGCCCCTCCTCACTAAGATGGTCCTTCTTTCGGGTGCGCTGCAAGCCTCAGCCTCACCAACGCCTGGAATCCCCAAATCGGGAGCCTGAAATCCTGAAGTCCTGCGGGCCTCCTGTTGCTGTAACTTTCTGAGACTACAGCGGGAACCCCAGAGACTGAGAGACCATGAAAATGCTATGCGCCAAGCCCCAACACACAATCCCACTGAAAAGGTTTGCATGCAGCAAAAGCGGCTAAAGGGTATGCAATCTAACGAGGCTGTTGATTGTAGCAGTTTAGCTTGCCTGAGAGCCGTCCGGAACTCGAACTTCTAAGTGGGTCGGTCCAAGGCCATCAAGTCATGGGATGGGTCAGTTCCAACATCATGATCTTATGTATATAACTTCTGCTGACTTCTGCTTGATCTTCTTGTGAAGTTATTCTTGCAACGGCCCCTGTTCTCACGCTGGCCACTCTTGCAAGAGCTTCTCGCCTTGCACCGTTCTCCCGAGCTAGCGCATGGGCCCATGCCTGGCATTTCCGCATCGCGGCTTTTGAAGCAGAAGGTATGCCCCACCAATCGTTCGGCTTCACTCTCCAAGGGCGTGATTGTGGCCCATGGCTAGACCGAGGACAGCAGCCCAAAGACCGAAGCATACATCTCGTGCACCCCTCTCTTGCACGGCAAGATTTCCGTTCCATCCCCAGAACTGACAAAACATCCAACCTAAAGCCAACGCCAAAACAACCAACCGATACCTCCCACCTTCACGTACCCACTCATTACCCTAAAACCCCATCTACATCCGAACCAAAACCCCAAGGACCAGCCAACAGCACCAGCAGGCTGAAGAGGTTGCCCTGCAAGGCTTCAGCTCCGACGCCCGTCAGCGGAGGGAACCGAGCCTCAATGGGTCCGCGAGAACTCCGGCTTTGAGGGTGTTGTAGGGCACTGTGAGGTTCGGCATTCTACGCCCTTATGGCACATTCGGGTTTTGGGGCACTTCGGGGCTTTCTGGTGTGCGAGGGTTCGGATTTGGGGGGGCGCCCAAACTCTGGAGCTCCACTTCCAAGCCGCTTCGATCTTGGATGTGGGATGTAGGACACGGTGTTTGTTGTATGCTTCGCAACTCGCCATCCCTGAACCCAAAGCCGGTGACGATGGAGCAACCCAAATCCCAAGCCTGGCAAGAGCCTCAAACCCTCGGCCCGCACCCTTCTGGAACAGAGCTAAAGAATGCAACCCCCAGCGTCCTACTGTACCAAGCCTCTGGTGGATATTTGAAGGTTTCATGGCATCCCCGAGAACCCTCCTTCTCTTCTGCCTTTCCCGACATACGAAGGGTCACCATCTAGGTGTGATTCCTCAAGTGGTATCCTCTGGGTATCCCTGTGGCACCACAGAGCTCACGAAAGTCACTTCAGAAGTCTTGCATAGAGCTTAGTACGAGTCCCTCAACCCAGTCAGACAAAGGAAAGCGCGTGCTCAGACGACGAGTCCCTGTTCAGGGCCCCCAGCGCAGGCTTCAGGGTCAGGAACTCCCATAGGGTTCGGCCTGCAAAAAAAAACAGGGAGCTCAATTCCGCTTTTCTCGGAAAGAAATCAGGTTTTGGGGATTGCTATGCTACTAGTACAGGTATACAGTCCGAATTATCTCTAGCGGCTAGGTAGGCCAGCACTAGCAAGACTGGCTCTACACCCTCCGGCTTTCGCAAGGGGGGATTGATGCTGACTCAGCGCAGAGAACTCCGGAGGCACAACCACAACGCTCGCAAGCCCTTAAAACAAGCCCCCGCATGCTAACATCACATCAAACACTCGAACCAAAGTTTTGAGGAGGACTCCTGGGCCCTCTTTCCGGCCCCTCGTGATTCGATACCGAGTAAGACCTGGCCGATCTGGACAAATCATCGGGCTATGTCTGTGCCATGCCAGCGAGAGGAACCTCCATGTATTACTTCGCGGTCGAGGCCTTATCGGCCCTTTACATGCGTGGGGAATGCGGCTGGCAGATCCTCAGAAAGTCCAAAGCGGTTGCACCAAATTCTGAACCCATCACCCTCATCCCAGGCCCTGCGAAGATAAGCTCAAGGCCTCCAGTTGCAGCCATAAGTCAATCCATAGTCCAAAGCATTTTTGGCCTCGTCTCAGCTTCTGAAGTCACAAGCGCGCCACCTTTTTCAGGATCTCCTACAACGGCTCTGCCCCTCTTCGCTGACTGTCTCCACCCGCCCTCCAGGAAAATGAACACGGGATTCCGAAGTATGGTGCTCCTGCAACCACTGTGCCGTAGTAAGAGGATTCTGCAGCCAGCAAGTTATGCAGCAATAACGGTGCTCAGTGTTTCTGGCTCCGTATAATTTCCAGGAGTCTCGACCCTTTTGATTTCACGGCTGCCGGACCGGTGCTTCAATGAGCAGCCCTTCGCTATAAGGAGCTGGTAAAGCACCGGATGCATACGGGTGCTAAGCGAACTATATACTAATCGAAAAGCTCCTGCTCTTGGAATACATCGTGGCGGTTCGAGGCGCTTGAACCCTAGCCTAGATCACAGGATTCAGAGTGGCTTCAGAGTGAGAACCTTGGCGCTTTGTTTTGGATCCCCTGGATCCCCTGTGGTCCAGCCAATCAACACCAATTGCAGCTGGAGCACAACCGCGTTAGCTATCGTGATAGTACAAGCACCGACTGCCCTGTCCGAAGCCTGAAACCTTGAAGTCTAAGATCGTAGACGGTCAAACGCTGGGCACTAGTTTGCAGGTCAGGGTTTGCAGTTTGGGGCCTCTGCGTCTTAGGCAGGACTGGCAACAGTGTCACTCGCTCGATGCGACGACCCGCTGCACCACAACAAGCAGGCAAAACGCGAGCCGGATTTTTTCTGGCCGCTGCCGCCGCCCGGGTTGAAATTATGCTCTTCTGGAATAGGGAACCCTACAACACTCTGTCGGTGTAGGCTTGACATGGCAAGATAGGCTCGTCGACGGAATCTTTCCTATCTGAACGGAAGACACAGAGGCTCTTGGATTTAACATGAGCTTTGGGCAGGCCCAAACGTTTAGAACGGGCCCTCTCCACATACACTCGCACAAGCACCTTGCGGCCACAAGCTTTGCAGCTGGATCGCGGGGGGGGCCGGCCGAAGCCAACATGAGCTGAACAAGAAGCAGCATGACTTCGTCAAGCTCCAGAACTTCAAGTCCTACCATGCCTATGACTATGCGTCAAGTTCGCGAGTGCAGACCCAGGCAGCCGGGGTCCGAAAGGCCCGAAACCAACCTGCTCTCAGCTCACTTTACATCCCTTTTCTGGAGGATTCGAACTTCGTTGGGAACATTGGCAGCGAAGCCGTCCATACGCCAATGACGAAAGGTTGGGCTTATGTTTTTTTTTTATATGTTTTTTTGAATTTTTCATCTGTCACACTAGTGACTAGTGCACACCCGCATGTGGGCTTCGGAATTTACACAGCTCTAACGGCAGCATACCTCGGATGATAGAAGGGTTGACACCCTGGAATTTCCACCCCGAAACCCAAACCCAAACCTATATCCATCACGCTTTGTCATAACGTCCCGAACAAACATCCCTAGCCCCAGAGCAAGCTCCGTTCTATCTGAGCTCCGTCAATTAGGTATCGTGTGCGAGTGTGGGGCCCAAGCCTGACGCTCTGCACTACTCACTACCCCAACCGCCTAACCACAGACACGAAACGCTTGAAATACTAAACTTAACCCGCTGCAGCGCGGCACTAGAAGCCTTAGCTCGCCAAGTTTGCGCCTCAGATGCGAACAGCCCCGGGAGCTTGATCATGAAGATTCGGCCGGCAAGTCGCTTTTCCTGGCTTTGGCTCTAACAAAAAACTCCTTTCTAATTTGATTGAGGTCACCTTCGCGCCGCAACATGTGGAAAATCCTTCGCGTGCATGTTGGATACCGTCTGCTGTGTCTGCGGTTGTGTCTGAGTTGCCCTGAACTAAGTCATCAGCATCTGAGCCATCGAGCACCTCACGACCGAGCGGCAAGGCGGAAGCTTGAGTTGCCGCATGGCCAGATTCGGGAGCTCTACTCTTTCACGTCACCCACGGAAATCACCCGGGCCCCGAAGCGTGGATACGGAATACATGAAGACATACATCAGTAAACCCATTCCAGCATGTCCTGTGCGAAAGGGCATCTGCTCCACGTAGACAGCGTTGGTCGCGGCTTCGACAGGCCAGCTGCAACGATTGAAAACTTCGCTCGCAACCGGCCTGCAGGGGTCGGTGGGTTCACGGCTTAGCACGCAGCCACAGTTTTGAAAGTGTATTTGGTCGAGTTCAGGATGGCGGTCGCTGGAGCTTAGCACGGCTCCTTACATTGGCCCCAGAAACCAAGTCAATCCACCTGGTTGAGGGTCTCGGATTCAAAACATAGGTAAAGATTGGAGCCAAGCTGCGAGCCCCGCTTGTCTGCAGGCTTTTTCAGATCTTGATCGTGCAATCAAACTGGAGCGTGCCACGAAAGGCCTTCCTGACCGCAATGGTGCGGTGTCCACCTCAACAATTGGCAGAAAGGCGAGAGTTAGGAAACCCAGTTGCTAGAATTCAACTTCTGCATCTCTTCACCACTAAACCGTTGTCGAGGAAAGGAAGACTGATGCAGCAATCCGCCAAGGCACCTTCTTGCGGCTCTTCCATTTCACTCAGCACTCCATCGAAGATCATGTCTTCGACTGTCCACAGCAGCCTGCGGTTACTAGGAATCCTGCTTTGGCTTCGGGAATTGTCACGCTTGTAATTGCAAGGCAGGGACTGTGGACATTGAGAACTCTGATTCGCGCCCGGGCAGCTTGGGACCATTAGATACGGAGCAAGGCCAAGAAGCTTCCCATCTCAGCCTCTTTAACCCCAAACCCTCAAACCTTGACACTCCTTGTGCTCATAGAGGGCTTTACCACTCCTCTCGACGCTCGACTCGATAAGTTGGGCCTGCTGCCGTCGAAGAAATCCAGCCTCACGAAGCAAGCTGGCCCCAAATGGGGTTTCACAGGGGACCCTAATATAGTATCCCCCCCAAGCCATTCCGGCCTTATCTGCTGGCCAGCTTCACCCTGAGCGAAAGTTACGCTCGGAAGTATCGCGAGGGCTCGCCAGCCATCCTCCTGAGGTCCACATATACATATATGTAAGTACACATACGTACGCAAATACATACTTACATACATACTTACATACATACGTACATGCATACATACATGCATACTTACATACTTACCTACATACGTACATACATACATACATACATACATACATACATACATACAGCCTCCATCTATATGTACGTGTTATGTCTGAATCTCTAACGCAGACACAGACAAACACATATATATATATATGTATATGTACATACATACAATATATATATATATATATATATATCCCCTTCTG